TTTTTTTTAAGATTTATTTATTTTTTGTTATTTTTAACTATAATGTGTGGATGTTTGTGTCTGCATGTGGGTGTGTACACATGAGTGCAGATGCTCTCAGAGGAGGCCAGGGGTCTCATATATCCTGGATCTGCAGTTATAGATGGTTGTGAGCTGCCTGTTATGGGTTCTGGGAACTGAACTTAGGTCCTCTGGAAGAACAGCAGATGCTCTAACCACTGCTCCATCTCTTCAGCCCCTGGGGCACTCTTCTTAGAGGAGCCCTTTGGCTCCCATACCTGATGTCCGTCTCCAGCTCAGATCTTGTAACTTAATGCTCGGAAAGTTTCATCTCTCTGGTTGACTTTCCCCTAGTTGTAAACTCAGAGGTTAGCCTGTTCTTGTTTCATGGATGGTGGCATGAGATTCCTTGGTCAGTGACAAAGGCCTTCATTACATTACAGACATCGTGAGCAGTGACTTGTAGTGTCAGTCACTCTTACCCTATTGGGTTCTATAGCACCCAATCTAGTGACTGCCTTACAGCAGCTAGGGCCATCACAGAAGAGCAGAATTGCCTTGGGGAGCATTCTGCTCTTATGGCCAGCAGTGGACAAGCCTGTTGTTTGTCCTGGAGGAAGGACCACCTCATCCCCCGAGGTTGCCCACTGTAAGTGCATCTCTAAGAAAAGGCCAGAATCTTGCATTCCTGACATAACCAGCAAGAATATTCATGCTGGAAACTCAATATGAGCTCTTTGTTTCCTTATGTCCTAGACTTGTTTCTTTGTTATTTCCTCCCCTCCCCTCCCCTCCCCTCCCTTCTCTCCTTTCCCGCCTTTCTTCCTTCCTCCTCCTCCTTCTACTTCTTCATCTTCATCATTCTTGTGGTCTTCATCATTGTTGTCTTCTTCCTTATTCTTTCTTCTTCTTCTTCTTCGAGACAGAATCTTAGGAATCTGGGACCAGCCTGAGCAATGCTGTCGTGAGACTTGTTTCAAAAATAAAAACAAAAGCAGTTTTAAAAATGCACAGATGTACTCATTTACGGGACCCAGTGTGGTATTTTTTTTTTTTTTTAAGATTCATTTATTATGTATACAATGTTCTCTTTGCATGTATGTCTGCACACCAGAAGAGGGCATCAGATCTCATTATAGATGGTTGTGAGCCACCATATGGCTGCTGGGAATTGAACTCAGGACCTCTGGAAGAGCAGTCAGTGAGTGCTCTTAACCTCTGAGCCATCTCTCCAGCCCCAGTGTGGTATTTTAATACATAAATACGGTGTGTAACTGGCCGCATTGAAGTAAGTAAAACCAGTTTTAAAGATTTGCTGTATATAATGTGTGTTATTCGCATGTCTTTGTGTGTAGGGAGTTGTATACATGTAAGTGTAAGGGCCCTGTGTTAGATCCCTGGAGTGGGAGGTCTCGCCATTTGTGATCCACAAAGTGCGTCTGCTGGGAACTGAGCTCAGGTCCTCTGTAAGAGCAGTGTGAGTCCTTAACCACTGAGCCATGTCTCCAGCCCCCTAAAGTTAATTTCAGTAATATACTACACATGTATGTCTAAACTATTCCAGTATTTAACATATCTTGAACTTATGGTTAATATTAAATACAAGTGAGATATTTTATATTCTCTTTACACTGATTTTGAAATCTGTGTGTATTTATTCTCTGCTACATTTCAAATATTTAAGAGCCAGATACAGTGACTGTGGTATTGGACAATAGGAGCCTCAAATTTCTTCACATTGCCTATGGAGAGCCATCAGGCTTTTGTCTCCCTACTTCCTGCTGTCCTTTTGTGGTGTGAGTTAGCATGGCTCTAACTGTTCGTCCTCCGTGCTGGAGTTTCAGCAGTTCTCATTGTAACCGGAGACCCCAGTCGGGTTGTGGAGGGACAGTCTGAACACTCGTCAAGACTTAAGTGTTATCCTTGCCTTATGAAATATTTGTTCTCGTGTGTACTCAGTTAGCTGCTAATCTGTAGTTTCAGTGGCATGTTTATTATATTGATGTTACCTGATTTCGTGAGATACTGCTGGAGGCTTCATAAGAGAAAGTATAATCTTACAAAGTATTTCTAGTGGCCGTCATGTTCAGATCTGCCTAGATAACCCCATGGCAAAACAAACAAACAAACAAAACAAAAAACCACCACAGTACAGAGGGTTGAAATGAGAGAGAACAAAGGAAGGGTAAATGTACTCACAGGAAGAATCTGTATTAGTTTGATTTCAGTTGATGTAGTAGAGACCATGACTAAAACCAGCGTGGGGAGAGAGGGTTATTTGGTGTGTACTTGGGTGTCAAGTCCATCATGGAGGGAAGCCAGGGCTGGAACCCAGGTCGGAATCTGGAGGCAGGAACTGAAGCAGAACTGTAGAGGAACAGTGCTTACTGGCTTGCTCTCCAAAGTCTACTCTGCTTGTTTGCTTGTATGACCCAGGACCACCTGTCCAGGGTTAGCACCAGTCACAGCGGCCTGGGCCCTCCCACACTAGTTGTTAGTCGAGAAAATGACCCATAGACATGCCCACAGATGGTGTGTGATATTTTGATTGCATTCTGAAAATAAAGTTTGCTTTGAGTCACAGGATGGTTTCTTTGCTCAAATGGCTAGCTTTTTACCATAAAGAAAGCAAACTCCATACGGAGGTTCTTCGATGCCCATTATCTTCTTTTGAAGTAAATTGGTGCTGTCAGGAACAGGTGTGTCTCACTGTCATGAAAAGCCTTAGGTTATTAAACATGCCATATTCTGTAGGTCTTTGAAGTGTTTGAAGACCATCTATCTATCTAAATATATCTGTGTATGACCTTGAAAACATACCTAACATGACTATAAGTTTCACTATTATAGATGACTATTAATCTGTATTTCTTAATTATACATTACATTTTTAAATGAGCTGCATAAACATGATACCCCAAACAAGAGTAGAAACATACATACAGTATAAGAAAATTAACTTTAGATTTGTTGGGGCTGGAGAGATGGCTCAGAGGTTAAGAGCACTGACTACTCTTCCAGAGGTCCTGAGTTCAATTCCCAGCAACCACATGGTGGCTCACAACCATCTGTAATGAGATCTGGTGCCCTCTTCTGGCCAGAAGTCATATATGCTGTATACATAATAAATAAATCTTAAAAAAAAAAGAAAATTAACTTTAGATTTGTATCAATATACAAAAATCCATACCAATGTAAAATATTTAAGACTCATAGTTGCTTTTTTTAGTTTAAAAGTAGATTAAATAATCTGCCCTTTATCCCATCACTTCTATAACCCCTGTTTTTCTTTTCAGAACGAGATCCCTAATCTAATTTCCTTTGTTGAGCTTTTTTCCTGACCATTACCAATACCACACAACACCCAGACTCTGAAGGAGGCAGCTCCTCACTTGAGGCTCCCTCTCTCTGGATAACTCCAGTTTGGGTCAAGTTGACAAGAACCAAGAGGCACACCTTGTGTGGTGTGGTGGCGATCACTTGACATGAGGAAGTGTGAGCAGCACACTCTCCCTGTCTCCCTGTCTCTCTGCTGCTGGTCAGCACTCACCGCAGCCTCTAAGCAAAGAATTGAATCAGTCTTACTTAAAGTGATAGTGGTTTTCCTCAGTAAAATTCACAGCAAATAAAATTCTTCTAAAATTATCCAGAATGGTAAGGAATTAAAGTGTTGAGTGAATGTATGTGAGATTTAATTAACATTCAAATATGACTTAAATTTTAATGGAAATGTATAATAATCTACTTCAAATCCCATCATTATTTGCAGAGAGTATAGAGTTGGATGTATTCTTTTCTTAGATTATTTGTTGGATTGAATCTCATTGTTATGGGGAAGGAGGGAGAGAGTAACTAATACTGAGTGACTATATTGTCCTCAGCTGAGTTTTAGATTACATTAGTATTTGACTCTCCCTGTGTCCCCAGATCCGTTTATGTGTTTGGAGGAAGGCACTGGCTGTTTTGCCTTTAGGTGTATTTAGGGAGGGAAAACTTGTCCAGTCCAGCCAGTTATGGAGTTGTGATTTGACCCTATGTAGTTTGGTGCTGAAGACCATGCTTTTAAATTCTTCGCCAGTAATGGAGCCTCTATGGCAAACCTCTGGGGTAGATAACAGCATCCTCATTATACAGATGTGGAGGCTCTAGTGTTATGGAAATCCAGCTCTCAAACCAAGCAGCACACAGAGAGTTGGAGAACAAAGCTTTATTCAAGTCTAGTAGGCATGGACCAAGGCTAGTGTTTTGCAAAGTCTGGTTCCTTCCTGCAGTTTCTTACAACTTATGTAGTTTGAGCAACAGTGTGAGGATTCCTATCTGCATTGACCATATGAGAGTGGTCTCTGGGGCTCATGACCACCGAAGGGATGTTTCTGTTGCAGTTTAAGTGTGTTTAGAGAAGCAGATGTTGCAGGTGGCCATTGGGACATTCTTACTTTAGCAAATATGGCCAACTATTTCTACAGATAGCTTTGCAAGCATTTGCTTTTTCAAGATAAGAGGATGGGATTCAACTGAAAGAGGCAGGAGTACAGCAAGCAGAGTGGAGTCAAATTCAACCCAGCCTGTCTCTACTTAGTCCTGTCGCTAGCCCCCAGGCAGAACTTCTGAGGCTAGAGTTAGATTGTGTTAGGCGCATATTCACATACTGAAGGTTTAACAGATATTCTCTTTCCTTCTCCACTAGTTAAGGTGACTGACATCCCTTCTTCCTCCTGCCATCTCATCCTGATCCCTTCTCTGGAGCTTTGAGATTTTGAACTAGTCAGGGCTTGCATTTGCTAGTCAGTGAAATCGTTGGTCTGTCCTGGTTCACTTGTGTGCCTTTTACTTTTCCCAGAAAGTTTCTCATACAATTGTGAGCCAATACTTGAGCAAGGTGACATGCTATATTACTTGTGATCCGAAATAATTTAGGTAATTATTTGATAATTTATACTACACTTCCTTTTCCAGAACTTATATTCAAAAACTGTTCACATTTTTTTTTTTTACTCTAGAGAGATTGGGACAATTATCAGGTCACTGGGATGCTGTCCTACTGAAGGAGAGCTACATGATTTCATTGCAGAGGTAAGTAAGTGGCTGAGGAAGTGTCACTCAGCTGAGTCTAGAATTCCTTGTAATTAAAAAAAAAAAATCTTCCACAAAACTCAAAATTCCCTAAACTACTGAGGGTGCTCTTTGAGAGTGTTAGGACAGCCGTGCATGTAAGTCAGCCAGTGGGACTTGAAAGCATTTTGATATAGTCTTGAAGAAATGGCAGCTGTTGACATATAGTTTTTAAATTAGTTGAAGATAGGCCAGTGAAGACAAGGAAGTCTGCCCACTTGGAGAGAGACCAATAGCAGATATACTTAATAATAATGTTGGTTTACAGGGGAGGCAGAGACCAATAGCAGATATACTTAATAATAATGTTGGTTTACAGGGGAGGCAGAGAGACTGCAATTTTATTTATTTAAGGAAATAGAATTAAGTTTCAGAACACATACAGTAATAAATAGACTAAAATAGAGAACATTAACCAGTCTAGAATTCTAAAAATTACTATTCATAATAACAAAAAGTTAACCATTATTAGTTAAAAGACCTTGATTGGCTTTCTTCTGTGGTAATAGATTCCTTGAAATGAGTAAACATTGCTGACCAGAGGAGACTGGTGTTCCTGCTTTCCTCACCCCCTAGGGAACAAGGGACAAAGATCTGATTGGCTGTTTTGGAGTTACTTTCCTTATAAGGCAGGGAGACAGAACAATGGGAGAATCATTCACAAGTTAACATCAAATTACTCCAGGCAACTTTTTTTTTTCCCCCAAAGAGTAAAACAGAAGGACTTTATTATCATGCCCATTGAAACTGGCTTTCCTAGGGAATTCTGTTTGGCAGTGTTTGGCTTTATCATGGGCGACTCCATTTTGGTTTTAAATCTATTCTTTGGGACCTAGTGTAGGAGCTGAATCCAAAACAAAAGTCACTTGTAATCACTGTTTGCAGTGTAAGCTGAGGCTGAGAGAAAGAAAGCAGCCCATGCCCCGGGAGCCTCATACTCCATTTTGCTTTCCAGAAAGATCTCTGATTGAAGGTTAAGTGAAGGTTTTAGTTTAACAAAGAGAGACTTTAAAGGGAAGAAGCTGCCTGGGCTGGGCCACAGAGTTGTTCTTCTTTGCCTTGGGGGTTTGGTTCGAGGATTAACAAGGGATGAGAGAAAAGCAGAGGAGCATTTGACCCATCTCCTTACTCCTTGTACTAGTGGAGTCCTTGTTTATTCTACTGTAGACAGAGTTTTCTTTGGGCTTCCAGCTCACAAAAAAATAACATGGACTGTTATTAATTATGAAAGGTTGGCCTATAGCTTAGGCTTGTTCCACCAGCTCTTAGCACTGAAGTTATTTATTTTAATCTGTTTTGCCTCGTGGCTTTTACCTCTCTTCCATCTTGTATCTTCTATTTCCTCTGTGTGTCCTCTGGCGTCTCTGCCATGCCTAGATTCATCTCCTCTTCTTTCTCTCTGCCAGGAAGTTCTGCCTGCCTTCTTCCTGCCTAGCTATTGGCCATTCAGGTCTTTATTAAGCCAATCAGAAGGCACCTTGACAAAGACACATCTTCACAGTGTACAAAAGGATTATTCCACAATATTCTACGATATGTTAAAAAGAAGGAATTTGGGATTTCAGACTGATGCAGGAGAAACTTGAAGTAGTAAAACTGATGCTACAGAGGATTTACTAGTAATCAAGATTAGGGAATAGTAAGTCACACCAAGTGGAATTTAGCCAAAGGAGTGCTGCTTCCCATATGACTGGGAGATAAGGAATGCGCTCACCAGACTTGTCAGAAACTTTAGGAAGGAAAAATTTGTACCACAGTTGAAATTTAGGGATGCTAAGAAAGTTTCTGCCAATGTTATTTACTAAGATTGACCTCCAATTAGGAAACTTACAACCAGCCATTAGGCTCATCCCATATCAAAGAACATACCTCTAAAGGGCAGTTCAAGGAGGTAGAGCAGGATTATAACCACCCTGTCATTAAGTCTCTATGCTCTCATCAGGAAAAGCACAGTTCTGCTGGGTGGACTAAATGGACCTGGGTAGCAACTTTGTAAAGAACAACACTGGTATACTTAGGAAATACTAAGAAAAAATTCTGGCAATATCTTTGCTGTGTAAATCCCCATCTGTCCAAGTGGCCAGACTTGCAGTCTGTTTAAATTGTTCAAAGTGGATCCTGGGGCTGGGACCTGAAAGAGGTTTAAGGGTGACAGCATCTGTGAGATGCATAAGCCTGTGGTGTGTATAAGTTCCAAAATCTTCTATTCAAGGCCAGCTCCTCTTTGAGCATTAGCTAGAGCTGGATGCGTGCTACATTAAAGAGTTTTTTCCTTTATCAGTCTCTAAGTGTGTGAAGTGATTTCTCACTAGGAAGGCATAGCAATTCTAGGACAGGGCAAGCTCGTTAATTTCTGTTGAATATCAATTTCTCCATAATAATGGCTACATCAGAGTTTTCCTCCAAGATACATTCAGTAATATATTACAAGCCAGTTTTCAATGGAAAAACACTGTGAAAGTCAAGCAGTTTCAAGTCAGATGGATAACTGTTGCTGCAGTATCAGCACCTTGGCAGCTCTTGGTTGTTTTCACATTGCTGTGATCACAATACCCGACAAAGACAACTTGAGGGAGCAAAGACTTGTTTGGGGGCATGGTTTTAGAGCAGTGGTTCTCAGCCTTCCTAATGCTGTGACCCTTCAATACAGTTCCTCATGGTGTGGTGACCCCCAACCATAAAATTATTTTCATTGCTACTTCATAACTAATTTTGCTACTGTTATGAATCACAATGTAAATATTTATGGAGATAGAGGTTTGCCCAAAGGGTCATGACCCACAGGTTGAGAACCAGCGTTTTATAGGGCTTCAGTCCATCGTGGCTGGAAAGGCATGGTGGAGCCTCTCGGTTCATGGTGTACCAGGGAAGCTGGAAGCAGGGGTGTGTGTAACCTTCAAAGGCCCATTCCAGCTACCTGCTGCTACTAGACTTCATTCTCTAAAGGTTCCAGGGCTCCCCAGTATGGTGCCAGTTAGGGAACACGTGTTGAAAAATGAGTCCATAGGGATATTCAGACACAAACCATAGCAGCAGCATCAGTTTTTCATTGCTATTTTGAAATATTTAGTAAGCTATTCTAAGTTGTAAGAATACATTGTTTTTCTGCTTTGGAATCTCAAAAGTTATTATTAGGAAAAGGGCTTGTTTTTCCTGTGAACCCATCTGTTAGAGCCCACCTAAGTTTCCTAGTGGCTTTACCCAGCAGGACTGCATAAGAGGATGATTGGGCCGGGCGGTGGTGGCGCACGCCTTTAATCCCAGCACTCGGGAGGCAGAGCCAGGAGGATCTCTGTGAGTTCGAGGCCAGCCTGGACTACCAAGTGAGTTCCAGGAAAGGCGCAAAGCTACACAGAGAAACCCTGTCTCGAAAAACCAAAAAAAAAAAAAAAAGAGGATGATTGGGCCATAGGCCTGGGTACCAGGTGTTTGGAAGGTCCTACACTTGGCTATATCTAGCAAGGGGGAGGTCTTTTGCCCCTCCTCTTGGCGTTGTTATGAAAAGCCCTTTTGAATAAAGTTCTGGGTCAGTGGATAAGGATCCAGGCCCACCCAAGGCTATCCTGTGTTTCTATCTATTTCTCTCCCCTCTATATTTCTAACTAAATCTCTTATCCCTCACTCCTCAAGAGTCCCTGGGGCAAATAAATGTGGGAGCTGGCACCCACACACTCCCTCCTCCCCCAAAGATGTTCCTGATGTCTGCTTCAAAACATTTATTCACAAAGCTGGAACTGGTGCAGGGAAAGGCAAAGAGGCACTGTAGGGAAGGTAGGGATTGGGAAATGAATTTGTGGTGAAATAAGAATCAGGCATGTGTAGCACACGCCTTTAATACCTGCACTTGGAGACAGAGGCAGACAGATCTCTGAGTTCAAGGCCAGCCTGGTCTACAGAGTGAGTTTCAGGACAGCCAGGGCTACACAGAAACCCTGTCTCTAGAAAAACAAAACCAAAACAAAAGAGAATCAGTGTGTGTTCAGTAAACAGAACAGGACTAAGAACTGAAGATCAGGAAGGAAAATGGTTTGCATGTGTTTTAATATACATTAGGAATCTGAAAAAACCCTGCCTGGATCATCCAAAAACCACAGAACCCCACTTATTTATGTATTATCTGTAACTGCTCGCTGGCTTTCCTTCTTTTTTGGAAACAGTTTCACTGTGTAGCTCTGGATGGCCTGAACTCACAGAAATCAGTTTGCCTCTGCCTCCTTAGTGCTGGCTGGCATTAGAGACATGCACCACATGCCCATTGACCTCAATCAGACCACAACCATTATAAATATGATTGAAAAAATTATATATAATAGTTATGGTTCAATTGGGTCACCAACCTATATAAGTTCTGTAAAAATTTATTGGTGTGCCAACACAATTTATTCCAGCTAAGTTCTAGCAATAGAGTTACAACAGCTTTGACTACCCTTCTTGAATTTTACCAGATAAATGAGAATAAAACACACATATTTATACTTATCAAATACATTTAAGACATTGAAAATCCACAACAGTTAGTGCCTAAGGGTAAATATCATATTGTTAAATGTTTTATAATAACTTCCGAGAGCAAACAATTGAAATGTATTTATATGTATGTGCACTTTAAAATCATTCTGGCCTGGCAGATGGCTGAACAGGTAAGGGACCTTGCTGCTGTGCTTGACGGCCTCAGTTTCCTTCCTGGAACCCCACATGATGGAAGACGCAAACTGACTCCCACAGCTGTTCTCTGACCTCTGCATACCCCCCCCACACACACATATACACATACACACATAATTATTCTGTAAAAATTGGGAATCTTTTATCTGGAAATTGAATTCTCTAGCTATCATGTGCTTGAATTTTAGGACAGAGACATCTCTAACAGAACTTTAAATTCTCAGCTCTTTGCTTCCTGAAGATCAGAAATCTCTTGAAATAGATCAGTTTTTAAATTCCTCAACATTGATTCATCT